CTATCTATAAGGAAATTTGGGCAGCTTATTTATTTCTTGCAAAAAGTGACGCCCTTTTCATAGTTGTGACAGAGGACGTTAAGTGAGGAAAATGGGAACGCACCATGAAAAAGAATTCGTCGAGTCGATCCGACTGAAACTGGCCTTTATCACTATCAAGGTACTTTGAATCGCCTGACGAAGGTTCCATAAGATTACGATTGCTGGAAGTTGAAGAAGATGGCAGAGGTGATGGTAGTGGTAGCGTAGGCCACCGTAAAGACAGGTCAGCGCTTGTGTTGCCATAAGTGTCCATTCCGAGGCAGGTGAAAACTTCTCCTGTGTCTTCCGTCTCAATATTTGAATTTTTGGCAAGGAGGGAATGAGAAATTGACACTTCTATAACACCTGGAGCTACCTGTCTTAAGCCAGGCAAGCGAGTCGGTTCACCACCCCGACGATCACGTCGAAACCACACCAGCTGCATTTCCGGTGATCCTTGAGCTGCGCATTTAATGAGCACGACTCCGGTCATATTGAGAGTCTTGGAGTGACCGACTCGGAGATCGCTAAAATCCACCTCTAACGCTCGCATTTGTGGAGGACCACAGAAAAAGTCACCCGTAGTGAGTGACACAATTTGTTTTCCACGTAGACGATTTGGGGACTCACAAACAGGATGGTCGTCATCTAGCACAATTGGTAAGCGATCATCGCTGATCCTGGGAAATGCGTCATCACTGTCTGCTCGTCGTTTGCGCTGGAGGGTTCGACTCAACCACATGAGTTTGCAGTCACATATAAAGGGGTTTCTGGCCAGAGAGAGGAATGAGAGGTTTCTAAAAAAGGGTTCAAAGCGAGCATCAAGCGTGGTGAGACTATTGGAAGTGAGACGCAGGGTTGTGAGGCTTCTCGAATTTAGAAGTGGTCGAAACACCTCGTAGGAAAGACTTCGAAGGCCACAGTTTTGCAAAGATAGGGAGGAAACAGTGAGATTTTCAAAAGCTTCTGAATCCAAAATTAGACCCTGATTATCATCAAGTCGAAGAAGGTCTAGACGTAAGCCCGAGAAGGTGCGACCT